TATAAAAGAAGTACAGCCCATGCCATCGCGCGATGACTATTAAATCTTTGTCCAGCGCACAATGAGGAAAATCTCGGCGGAGTCAGCACTTTAGCAAGCATTTTGAACACAACGCCATTGTGCATCAACCTTGCACAAAAAACGGATTCAAAAAAAAACTACGCATGCCCTGCAGCGCTCCAAGTCCTTCTCCTTCCAAAAGCAAGTTTTCAAGATGGCATGGCACCCTCTTTCCACCAACCAAAGCAGCTGGCTTTGTGCACTTTTCCACCTCTGATCTCAAAGCACTTTGCAAAGGGAAGGTGGCAACGCTAGTCTGTCTCTGATAAACAAGCAGATTTAAGTATAGACATTCAAAATGGCCTGAGGTTGAATTGATTCAATCTCTGCAGGTTGAGTCTAAACTGCGTAGACTGAACCGATAAGCAAGTGAACAGACATTCACTTTTGATTCCAGAAATGCAGCCACATGCCTGTAGTGACCCAGGCCAGAAGCCGGAGGGCGCTAGACCACGCCCCTCTGCTCGGCTGCAGCAAACAGCTTGGGCCAAGGTCAACTTGAGGGACTGGGGGGCTTGTGGGGGAGGTGCAAAGCATCCAGGGATGCTGGGGGACAGCATTAACTTGAATCTGGAGGGGACCTGGGACAGAAGTTCAATAAACCAATTTAACCCAAATCAGTTCAGCCTGATACGACATCCACCCAGGTTTAGCTTAAACTGGTTTCAGCCATTTTGAAAGTGGTTTGTGTGTGCTGAACATCTGTTGCGTTACAAATTTGAACAGGTTTCTGACCACCAGGGATCCTGGTTTTTTTCTCCGATAAAAAAAACCTGCAAATTCTCTGATAAAAAAACCCAAAATCTGTGATTAAAATGAAAGGCCCCCCACAGCCCCCTGGCCCTGCTGGTGCCCCTCACTCCCCTCTGCAGGCTCCCCAGCCCTCCTGGTACGCCTCTTTTGTGTGTGCACTTGTGCATGTACACGTGTGCACTTGTGCATGTACACGTGTATGCACACCCATGTGCACATCTATGGGTGTACATGTGTGTAGGCATCTGTACATGCATGTGTGCCTACATGCCTGTGTAGACACTAGACACTTCCACTGGGAGCGGGGAGAAGAAGATGTAGAGGCCCCCGGGCCAGCTGCACATGGACTGCGAGTCGCGCTATCGGCCCTTAATGGAAACCGTATATGGAGGAGCCAAGCCCAGTCTGGCCGATAGCACCGCTCGGGTTCCACGTGCAGCCAGCCTGGTGCTCCGGCCAGGAGTGGGGAGGCTGCAAAATCCCTGCTCCCAGATGGGTGCAAACCTCCCAGCCCCCAGCCGGCTGCAAATCTCTCCACTCCCTCAGCACCCCCAGCCCTGCCAGTCACCTCCCAAACTCCCTTCAAGCCCCACTTACCACTTCACAGGCTCCAGAAGGAAAAAGTGAACCTGACCCAAAACTTGGGACCGACTAAAAGCCGCACGCCTCACCCTTCCCCTTCTCCCTGCCCCTTTGGGCAGGGTTGGGACTTTCCCACCCTTTTTGCAATCAGCTCTTGCAGGCTGGAACTCAGCCCACCTCCAGAGCTCTTTGCAAAGGGGGAAATCCATGGGTTTCTCTGTTAAAAGGGGAAATCCATGATTTTCTCCGTTTTTCCATGGGAAACAGAAAACCTGGATCCCTGCTGATCACTTATACTGGTCTGCGTGTAATTTCTGTCCCTAGCTATCTACAGGAAGGGGAAGTGATTTGACCAAGGACATGCAATCCAGTATCTCCATATGGCCCCACCTACAGGACTGCATTACCCAACCATACATTTACAACAACAAATTAAATCCTGCAATGCCTCACCAAGTACCAGAATTAAGACATTACATATGCATGAAGTCGGCTATTAACTACTGTCTCACCGCTGGGACAGCGTGCAAATATCACCTGGCACTGAAGTTTGGGATCTGCATTTACCTGCAGTATCTCCATTTAAATAACAGCCATCTTTTAAAAAAAAAAAAGAACAGCTGCAGACTTCCAGGGGCTTGACCCAAGTTAAGACACAACGCATAATGCTTTTCAGGCAAACCCAAATTAAGCCATCATGTGTGGATTGTCAAGGATGAACAAACCAGCATTAACTACAAACAAATGTGGAGAGCCACCTCTCAAAAGCATGAAACACCAAGAACAGCAGCGCTTGCGTCGCCAAATCCGCCTTCAGCTGAGAAAGCAAAGATCTCCGCAAAAGAAACTTTTTCTTCCACACCCTGCTCCCGGGCGGACGGGGGAAGAAATCAGACTGCTCCACACAGATAAAACAAGCAGGAAAAAAATATAAATACCCCCTCCCAGATTAAACAAAACAGCAAAAAGGAGATAAAACACATGCATGCGCCGCTGGCCACCTCTGGGAAACCACAAAAGTGCATGCTCAGCCTCCAACACTTCAGTGCCAGCCTCTTTCTTCACCGGGCCAAGTCCTTGTTCTACAAAGGAACTTCTTTTTGGCACATGCCAACGGCCTCGTTGCAAGCCCCCGTTAAAAACGCGAGCCAAGGACAAGCAGCACTATCCCGAGCGGCTCACCATGAGCGGCGCTTACCCCAGGGCATCGCCTACTGGGTCCCGCTCATCTCCAAACCAGCCGGCTCAACTTGCAAACAGGTAAATAAATAAATAAAAGGAGGCCACACAGTCTTCAAACCAAGCTGGAAATGAAATGGAAAGCCTGTAATTATTTCTCAATGCTCCTGCCAGTCTCAGCCTATAAACACAGTGGATTACATAAGTCCACCCCTCCTGTTTGGAAGCCAAAAGTATGAGCTTTTCCTCCAGCTTTGGCAGTGAGTAATAATTCCTTGTAGTCATGGTAACGCTGGCTGGCTTCAAGCAGACAATGGGTGAACTGAAATACTGCTAGGCCTTTTTATAGCTCAGCTCTAAAAACCTCTAAAATATTAGCTATCTTACGGCTAACCCAACTCAATAGCCTCTCCTTCTTAACCATTTCCTTCCTGCGCCGCGACCCAAATTATTTCGAGATGCAACAGAGCGCCCTCTTGCACGCACTCAAGGGGATCATCTGCCACTTCAGATCTTAAAACGAGTAGCCGCGCTTCTTACAAATAAATAAATAAAACGGGCCCGTTTCTTCACCTCCTCCGAATGGCGCGGCGTTTTTCACACGTCGGGCACATTTCCATTTTAATGGATTGCCTGATTTCTTCTCGCTGCAAAATAAATCCCAGCCGGGAGGGATTTCGAGTGCCAGCGTTCGCAATAATCGCCGCAGACTGAATGGTTTTATTTGATTTTGTTGCTAAGCGGGTCAGCCGAGTTGGGAGTAAAACTAGAGCAGAGTTAAGTCGAGCGATCCCCGCTTCCGGGGAGCGCGGCAAAGGTGCCGTGCTCGACCTGCGGGGTCCGTGCTGGCAGTGCCCTCGCTCACGTGCGACGGTAACACTCCTGGGACACATCCGCTTCTCCACACGGCAGGTAAGGCAGTCACTTTAGGAGTTATTGCTAACTTGGGGAGACCCGGTCTATCTTTTCTAGGCACAGAGGGCGAATTACAGCAATACACTAAAACAGGTTAACCTCATCTCAGACAGAAGTAACGCGGGTCTATGCTGCAGAGCAGTCAGTCATGCTAATGGTTTACATACTCACCTGAGTATTACCACATCCCAAGACCGCTACCCCAGTGAAGGGGTCCGTGTACAACAGGACGTCTTAGTTGCAACTCAACCGAATTTCACCCATGAAAACGAGTTGCGTCCCATCAACTCCCATAACATCAACAGGAGAAGATGCAACACGTGGTCGAGGGCCCAAGTCACGTAGAGTGGGCACGCTGCAGCGTCAAAGCCACCACCATTATTTCCAAGAACTGAAGGTTGCCGAAAAGTCCCACTAAGTTGAATCTCACCTGCACAAAGGCCTACAAATCACTTAAATCTAATTTAAGGCCTTGAAACAGGACTTAAGTGCTGCAATGGACAATGTGCTGGCTCTGCAAAAGCATGAATTGCACTTACTGAGGACTGAGCAATCCTACACAAAATTACTGAATTTTGCATGGGCGGATTGAAAAAAACAAAACAAAACCCACCAGGCCAATCTGCCACGAAACAGAACTGGCTCGTTCTTTTTGGCACTTAAAATTATGCTCTTGACTCTCGTGATTTTATTGCAAGTCTACAGAGGGCTGGGGTGGTGTAGGCGCCAAGGTGCATGGTCGCAAGTTCGAGGCCACAGCAGCAGTGCTCAAGGCTTGTCAGATTCCAGTGAATCTGCAAGTTCTGCTAAATACCTTGGCACAGGGACACAAAAAAGGAAAGGGAAGGATTGCAAGTCTGTGGTATTTGCTGCTTTTCTGAAAGCCTCTGCTCCAGAAGCAGGGTTGCCAACCCTCCAGGACTGGCAGTCTCCAGGAATGAGAGCAAAATCTCCAGGAGAGTGCCGAGTACCCGGGAGATTAATGATAGGGCATTCATTAAAATAAATATTAAGTGTTGAATCTGATTTATACAGAAGTCACACAGATTTTTTAATAGTAATGTGCATTTGCTTTACTGGACTCCACAACTAATTTGCACAAACATGCGGGCACGTTGTGCTGGGCATCACGGGCACGCCGGCATTTCGGAAACCTCCCAGAATAGATTCAGAGTTGGCAACCCTATCCAGAAGGCAAACAAATGGGAAGAAAACCCAGCTTTCAGACTGCAAATACTGAAAAAAAAACCCCACCTCAGCTTACATCCCTCACAATTGCAGAGGAAAAAAAAAAATTTTAAAAACTTGGATATATGACCCAAGGGCACCCTACAGAGTCAAAATCCAGTAGGCAAATGAAAACACTCTTTTATTATTTATGACGAACTCATGACTTTGGGGATCATGACTTGCAATTTCTGACTGCTTGAGGGTGGCGATACCGCTCACAGTTCAGGCTTAATTGCTCGCTGCACCAGTATAAACAAACTGCAGAAACATTTCATACAAACCGCGACGTTTTCAAAATAGCAGGTCTTGCTCGTGAGTGCGCCGCTGTTCAATCTTGGCCTTCACGCTGCATTTCTCCCACAGAACCGGGCGAACCTTCACACTTACAGTCTGTACGAGGAGCTGGCAATTTTTCGCCACCTCTTAGCACATGCCGGGATGTGGCAAGCGTTGGCAGATGCTGGCTTTCGTTGCGAAACTCCCCAAATGGCCCAAATTAGACGTGATGCTTCGGAGGGTTGAATTCACATTTTGCAACTGTGAGAATCAGGCAAGGAAAGCCGTATTGTCAGGAAGCAATATGATTGACTGATAAACTAAAAATCACACACGTGCACCTCCAGAAGACATGCTAGTCCCACGAGGTAAGGAGCAGCAGAAGTAAGAGATTTCCCCAATAAAAGCTCTCAGCACTTATTTGCTGGGGGAAAATAAATGGGCGAATTCCAGGGTTGCACCTCAACCCACAGACAGATGAGCAAGCCAGAGCTTAATCCTCCCAGAGACTTTGGGGGGAGCAGGCTCAAGGACATTGGGAGTTCATACCACGGTTGCATGCGTGACCCCAACAGGCTTCAGTAACGGTACTCTCCTCATCTTGAGAGAGATGGTAACCATGGCCAGAACAAGTTTGGTCAACTTCAAACCACCATGCACCCGCTTCTTTTAAACCTTGTCGTTACCGCAACTTCAACTTTGAAATGAAATTTTTATCGAGCGTCTAACAGTCTTTCCCTGAAGTCTACGTGCTTGAGGAACAAAGAGGACCCCCAGTCCATCGACGCTCCCCTACAATCACTAGCGTCCACCTGGAAGAAGGATGCCCACGTCGCTCTCGCCAGAGTAGGGACATCACAGTAACGGCAGGGAAGGGCTGGAAGGGGGTGACAAAGTGCTCTCAACAGAAATGGCTCGGGACGCTAGCTGTTCTGGCACGAGCCTACTTCTCTTCTGCATGCACAAAGATGATCTCACACACAGACATAACCTAGAAAGAGGATTTTTTTTTTTAAAAAAGGCTTTAACGACAGAACGTTGCTGCAAGTTTAAATGATGCCATACTGTACACGCAAACTGTTCCTTCAACTTAAAGCTTTAATTAAGACGACTATTCTTTATGGCTCTGGAGCAGCTCCAGCCAGCCATTGTTAAACATAAAATAAAGCCTTCCAACTCTGGAGCATCTGCAAGATATTAAAACATTAAAATACCAACTTCTTTATGCAGCTTTAAAGTGTTATTTAATGCCCTCCACCTAGAGCTAAGATTTTAACCATTTAAAAAAAAAAAAAAAAAAAGACTGGCGACACCTCCTACTAGAATGCATCTTTAAAGAGGCTCCCTTGAACAAGACTTTCAAGGCACTGGGACAAAACCAGTTAAAAACAGTCTAACACATTGCTTTTGCTTCTTTGCAACGTTAACAAGAAGTAGATGCCTTAGTCATGGAAGTAAGCTCCCAACGTAATCCAGTGACATTTAGACAAACAAAAAAATAAAGAAGCTGACCATGTAAAAGAACCAGAAACACAATAAAATTCATTATATATATCTCCCCATATCATAGGTCTTTCATATATATATATATATATGTGAAAGACATGTTTGACCCTGTTACAAAATCCCAATGCAAAAGCTCAGTTATAATCCACAATAGTCCAGCATGAGTCCTAGGGGCTGAGCCACATACATAGATCCATACAACACCTACTCCCCTCTGTCTAACACACTGGGCAATTATTTCGGGCAGAGGGCCACCTACTGAGTTTTGCCAAGCCATCGAGGGCTGCATGACAGGCAGCCAGGGGCAGATAAATATTAATTTTCTACATTTTTAGGGGCCCCGTGGGCCTGGTGGGCCACATCCGACCCGCGGGCCGTATTTTGCCCACCCCTGGTCTAACACGTGCCATCACACCTGAAGTCCCATGTTCAACCCAGCCGGAGTATCGCTCCGCTTCACTTTAGGAAGAGCTCGAGCTGAAATCAGGGCCCCAATTACAGCAGATGGAGTTTTGTCCCTGACTTCTATGGAGCCAAAAATCACTCTCTCAGTCTCCGAAGTCTTTAGAGGATGGATTACACACTACTCCGCTGAGCATTTAAGGGTACACTGAAAAACTACCCAACCACAAGCCTTTTCACACTCCCAACCATTAACAAACACATCCAAAATACTTAACTAAATGCCGTCTTCATGAAAGCAATTATTGTCATTGACCCAAAACTATTACTGGCTGGGAGATGGGAAAGGAAGTTGTTCACAGCACCAGTGAATTCGAAGGCAGCTGTCTGGGTATTGCAATGCTGTGCACACTGAAAACCCTCAAGAAAACCTGCGAGGAAAGGCAGCCAGAGACACGGTTGCACGCAGGAGAGACGGTGCCGTGATGCAATGTTTTGCTGGGAGTCATCTAGGAGCTCCCTGGGTTTTATTACGCCTACATGAGCATTAACATGTTATAAAAAGGGCCAAACTCTACTGCGATGACGCAACCAAGGTACTTCCAGCACTAAAGATGGGACACGTCCTACGAGCCAGGGTTCGTAACTCCCGCGTGTCCCAACAACTAACCCAACGTGAGATAAGGAGCAATTTCAGAACGGGAAGAGGGCCAGCTCGAATGAGCAAACAAATGCCAGCCTGTGCAGCAATCAACTGCAAAGTCAATACACGGACACTTTCATCTTTGTTCTGCTGATAACATCTTATCTCTTATTTTCCCCGGCATTCTTTTCTGGTTACTTATAGCAATTCATCTAAAGGCAAAAACTGTAAAAAAGAGTGGTAAGATTTATAGAAATCCCAGTAATTAAATCTCAGGCAGTTCCTGCAGCCCGCTGAATGGTTCAGTCAAGCATATTCTAAAATAGTTTGATTTGGGGAGCGTTTTAAGACTTTTTTTTTGACGATCAGTAGAGGCAGGGCTGTTTGCTCGCGCTTTCCCCCGACCAGACTGCGCCTCTCGTCCCAAGCAGGCTTGGAGAGGAACGATTTTGTAACCGAACACTGCAGCCGTCGGGAACCAAGACAAGGTTTTGCTTGTATTGTGCTCTGCTTCTCCGTTACAGAAAACAGCACTTTCTGGCACCAAAACACAAAACAGAAGTGAAACAAGGAAACATAAGCGTACAAGCATTTTCCCTCCGTGCCTCGGGAACAAAAGGCCTGCTGAATAGGGACCAAGAAAGGAAAGAAATTGGACTCCTTGAAGATCAACTCAACTGCTGGGATTGCCATATAATACTCCTCCGACGGTCAGAAAGACCAATTTGCAGGGGGGAAAAAAAAAATCCTCGTTGTGTGCTAGCAGCCCCATGTTCCCAGGAAATAGTATACAGAGTTAAAGGCAAAACCCATGCCTGCCCAACACCCAGGAGGGAGATCAAATCCCCCCAGAGGAGACTGCAGCTGAAAGAGAAGCGAATATTTTCCTAGGGGAAATAATCCAGAGACACAAACAAACAGCAAAAGGAGGGACCCGAGCCAAAGCCGTCAGAGTCTTTCCATTGATCTTGGCGGGTTTGGGAAACCCTGAACCATTGTGGAGACGCGCACACACTGGACTGGATCGGCAGACTCCGGTCATCGGCCTCTCTTAAAAGAGCGGCGAATACTCCCGACTACACCCCGACTTCCTATTTCGCTTTGTGTTCAGAAAACGGAAAATCCAAAGGCTAACCCCGAAGACCGAAGGACCAATATCCAGAGCTAAATCCCGTATCGGTGCATCCTTCCAAAAAGAGTCCAAAATTAAAAGTGTCCCAACAAGAAAGAGAAACGGAAGAGGTTGCACGCCCTGCCCATTCAATTAAAATATATCTGTTCTACATGCACCGCGGCTTTCAATGAATAGCCAAATGAAGCCCTCCCTTTGCATCTGGAAACGCCAGTAAAGATCTTGACCCAGCTCTGCAACCTCGGTGCCGCAGCAAAGGTGGGGTGAAACCAGGTCCCCTGGACACCACAGGGATCAAATGCATCTGGATGCCACATGTATGTGGCAGCCGTGTTGGCCCGACACAAAAAGACATGCAAAAATCTGGAACTCGTGGTTCCCAAACTATACCTTTTATTAGACCAACTGAGAAACTGCAAAACATATCTTTTTCTGAAAGTATATGACAGGCCGAGTTATACACTTCACCATCCTCTCCAGAAGGGCTTGACCCATCCATTTAGTATTACAGCAAGATCCTAATAATAGTGACCAGTGTATGTTTATCTTCTGCGTATCTAAGCCAAAAATAAACCCCAGTCCTGTAACGATTTTAATGTAGGAACTAAACTGGGAAATAAAATGTAGAGAATGTCCACAGCAGATTTAATAGGGAGCTTTCACTCCCTGCTGCCAGAGACCAAACATGGAGACCATGCAACTGGAGCAAAGACTTTCAACGTACAGACCCTTAAATCATGAAGTCGCCGAATGAAATATATTTTTCATTATTTGAAAGCGATGCTAAAATCTGCTGAGTAAAAAAACCCCCTGCAATTTTAGTGAAACTACTTTTTCAAGCATACGGTGCATGTTCCAAAAGATCAGCAGCTGCTAGAAGCCAGCTGTCTACGCTAATTGTGTATACACGAATAACTTCCAAGTAGGGTAGACATCCAGCTCCGAACCCACTTTCAGCTTCCGTGACAGTATACTTGCACAGCATCTCATTTTGATCTTAGTCAATCGTTTCACATTGAAGCTTAATATATTCATACGCGACTATGGACGACCAATTGCATTTTTCTCTTATGAGATGTCGCCTCTCTCCAGTTTATGTGGTTAGCCACCATTGCTTTTTGTTTTCTTTTTTTTTTTTTTTTAATCATGGGTTTTTACAGGATGAGATCATTTCTGTGGGGAAACCGT